ATGACAGCACAATCACCATCCACTGCTTAAAGACCACTGAAATGTAGGTGAATTGTATAAATACAATAAATAAATAAATAAATAAATAAATAAATAAATAAATAAATAAATAAATAAATAAAATACATTACTACACTTTAGTGACAGCTGGCTTGAAAACAGTCCATGTGAAAGGGATCTCGGAATCTTAATAGACCACAAGCTGAACATGAGTCAACAGTGTGGTGCAGCCAAAGCGATTCTAGGCTGTGTCAACAGCCTAGATTAACAGAACTCAAAAACCACTGGGGGAATTGAGACCAAATTTGGACGCAGTACACCTAACAATCCAATGTATGTCCTTCACTCAAAAAAATTGATTTTGTCATTTGGGAGTTGTAGTTGCTGGAATTTATACTTCACCTTCAATCAAAGAGCATTCTGAACTCCACCAACAATGGAATTGAACCAAACTTGGCACACAGAACTCCCATGACCAACAGAAAATACTGGAAGGGTTTGGTGGGCATTGACCCTGAGTTTGGGAGTTGTAGTTCACCTAATCCAGAGAGCACTGTAGACTCAAACAATGATGGATCTGGACCAAACTTGGCACAAATACTCAATATGCCCAAATGTAAATGCTGGTGGAGTTTGGAGAAAATAGACCTTGACTTTTTGGACTTGTTGTTCCTGGGATTTATAGTTCACACACAATCAAAGAGCACTCGGAACCCCACCAATGATATAATTGGGTCCAACTTCCCACACAGAACCCCCATGGCCAACAGAAAATACTGTGTTTCTTGATTGTCTTTGGAGACCCCTCTGACACCCCCTTGTGACCCCTTCAGGGGTTCCAACCCCCAGGTTGAGAAACACTGCTCTAGAATGAGGAGGACCCATTGGAAACAACTTTGGGTTTGGCCAATCAGTCAATTCCCAATCTACCTAACTGTAGCATTTCCTGACCCACATTTTACTACCTTCTTTGTGAAGATGTCATGGGGAAAATAAATAGGCTCAGGCTCCCAACCTTTTAACCTTGCCCTGGCACTCGGCCACATTGAAAACATAATTCAGTGTGGCCTCCCCTAAATTGGCATCAAGATGACAATAACCTGCAACAAAACAAAGCAAAAGCTATTCCTCCGGATCGCACAGTGTTTACTTTAATAAAAATTACATGAAGCAATTTTAAAGTTACCTTCCTTTGAAACATTGTGGATCAGCATTAGGGAAATGTTTTTGAGAAAGTCTTCCTCTTGCACATATGCATCTTACTGGGTTATCCTGATTCTAATTATACCCCACCACAGTGGCTTTTGTCAACAGTAACAAAGTATTTTAAAAGCAACCTCTAGACAGATAAACTGCTTTAAAAACACTTTTGTCAGCCACCATACGGTGGGTTTTTTTTGTTTTGTTTTTTTGCAAGAATTTGACTTGCATAGCACTATTCTTTCACTAGGACTTGTTGGAAGAAAGACATAGAAAGAGGATCTTTTGTGGGTTTTCAAAGGGAAATATTTATCATGGCTGAGCCCAATGCCATTCTCCCTCTGCAAAGTGTGCTTCTAGGCAGATGTGAAATCAAAGTACAAGATGCCAACAGAAAGGTCATTTTAGCCTTTGCCTTTCCAAGGCAATATATTATTTTCTGCATCTTTACTGGTCATAGTTCTCTAAACATTTATGAAGAAACCATTCAACATATCAGTGAATCTGAGAAGAAAGAAACAGCACAAATGCAAACAAAACTGTATTGCATGTAGAAGGTCCTTGATTATTATTTAGGACTGAATCTGCACCTTTTCATGGGGTGACAAAAGTATTTTGGCTTCAGTGCCTGCCAAAATACATTGCTCTACAGCACTATTAAATGAACAACATCACTTTTCTAGTATTTGGGAAGCATTTTGTGAGCTGAATACCAGTGCTAAACTAAAGGTTTAGACAAGGACTGTTTATTTAATGCTTAGACCATAGGTCTTTCACATATAAGGCAAATAGATAAATACATGAACACCAGATTATTAAATGCAGGGGCGGCTCGTCCATTATGCGAAGTAAGCAGTCACAGAACTTTTTTTTTGCCCGGGGCGCAGAGGCGCCTCTGTAAATGCCCCTCGACCACCACTTGAGGAGCGCTCCCTCAGCTCACAACAGCCCTAGTAGTCTGGGGGGGGGAGCCTCAGCTTTCTTGCCTCGCTGCCGGGCAATCCTCTTCCCAAAGGGGCCGGGCCCTTGAGCCTCACCTAGCCCCTCTCGTTCCTGCTCCACCCGGCCACTGGGTGCGCGAGCAGAGCCGGCGCTCAATCGTTCTCCGTGTTCGATCCCTTCCCCATGACTGGCTCCCTTTCCCTATCCTCTGGCGCTTCACCTGCCTCCTCTCCTCTCCCCAATCTGCGGTTGGGCCAAGGGGCGGAGCCGCCATGCCTGGCCCGCTTCGGGTCCAGAGGCATGTCTGAAGAC